TTTTTTTTTTTTTTTTATGTGAGAGAAACCCTCTTCTTTTTTGTGACGCCTTCTATTAACCACTGAGAACTTGTTCTGAGCAACTTGTGTCAAGACCTTAAGGCTCCCCAAGTTGGGGTCCCTTCCAGCATGTAGAGGAGGCCCTGCTCATGCCCACTAGGTCGGCTGTCCTGATGTTGGTGGGTTCTCTAACTGCTGATGCAAGCCAGGACCAATTTGGGGCAGTTACCCTCCTGTCCTCTGGTTGCTGATTCTCCCACCCTTGACCTGCTCAGGTGGACTCACACCTTGAAGCTTTTTCCTAGCTTACAGAGGGACTAGAGTGAGATGGGGGAGATGGCCCCCCTTTCCTTTGCCCAGGTGGATTTCAGGTTGTTTATTCTTTATTATCAAGGCCATTTGGCCTCTGTGCCTTGCAGTTTCCTGCTGGTGTCCCACCATGTTGAGTTTTCCACCTCTTGCCATGCAGATGGGTTGGGAATACCCATAGAGAAGATGCTGGAGTGTGGGGCAGCCTGGCCTCAGTGCCTTCGGCTATATCCTGGCACCTTGCCTAGTGCTGGTTAGATGGGCGGGAACTTATCCTAAATTCAAACAGTGAGTCCTTTGCACTGGTGTACTGACCCCTCTCCCTGCAGGGACCTACGGGCTGAGCAATGCGCTACTGGAGACTCCTTGGAGGAAGCTGTGCTTTGGGAAGCGGCTCTTCATGGAGGCTGTGGAGCAGAGCCAGGCGCTCCCTAGGGATGTCCTTGTCACCAAGCTTCTGGACGTGCTTAACAACGAGGAGGCGTGAGTGGGTGGATCCTGCTGGGGTGAGCAGTGTTTGGCCCTGGGGCAGAGAGGCAGGCGGTCTCTACTGCCCTCTGAGGCCTGTGGAGGTGACTGGGGCCAGCCCCTCAGCTGCAGGAGAACCTGGTGGATATGCTGACATGCTGTCCTCGGCACCCTCCCACCTGTCCCTGTGGATAGTCAAGGTTTCAATGGGGTCCTTCGATGACGGGAGGTGGGGCAGTTGTGAGCTAATGTGCTGGGAAGCTTGGTGCTTTTAGAGCTAATGTGGGCTTATATGGCCCTCAGTAGCTGGAGGCTCCCATCTGTTTGCATACATGAGCCGTGGCATAGACAGACCCATCCCAGATATTACCTGGGGTAACGTTGTCTCTGATCCGACCTCCTTGAGGCACTTCAGAGGTCTCTGCATGGGGTACCTGTCCCGGGGACACCACCCTCTGGCGTATTTCAGCCATCTCAGGGGGTGAGTAGTGTCAAAGTGCTGGCCAAGCTCCCTTCCTCCCATGCAGGGACATGGCCCACACATCTTTACCCTACTCAGGCCAGGCCAGTGTCCTGCCCAGATGCCCAACGGCCTCTTAGAGGAGTTCCCTCTAGCCTGCCTCTCACTCCTCTCCCCTAGGGCCCTTTCTGCCCCTTGCTTAGCCTTCTTCCTCTCTGCATCATGAACCAGGGCACAGCCTCAGTACAGCTGACCCTCAGAAACCCTGCCTGGTGGCCCATGCTTAACTGTAAATCCACCCAGCACTTGGTCACTGTCTGTAATCCCTGCTGGCCCATGTCAGGCCCTGGCAGCTTTTATTGACGGCTGTGACTCTAGTGCGAGCTATAGTGATTGGCAAGCTGCAGAGCTTGAGTGCTCTCCTGTCATGCCCATAGGGCACCTCCTGGGATAGGCAGGGAGCATATGTGGCCAGGTGACTGCACCTCTCAGCTGGGCCCCTGCCCACAGCGCCCCCACTGACACAGGCCCCACTGAGAAGAGGGCCAGCTCGCTCCCGGGGTGGCTTCTGTCCTCTTGCAGGGGATCCTGCACAGCTCTGATCAAAGGGACCTTAGGCATTTTCAGACCCTACAGAGCCTTTCCAGTGTTGGGCTCATAGGTCCTCATGTCCTCAGAGTCCTGAGTCTTGGGTCCTGGGTCCTGGGAAAGCTCCTGGTGGCCCTGGCAGGGGGAGCTGCCCCACTGATCTCTGTCTGGTAGCCTAGGCCCAGCCATGGAGTCCTAAGTGAAAGTCTTGACAGAGATTTGAGCCCTTGAGCAGAAAAGTGCACAAAATAGACCTTCCAAGGCTGGTGAGCTCCTCAGGCACTACAGACCTGTGGGCAGGCAGCCAAGGGGCTGATGGTGACCCCCTCCTCTGTCCTTCCAGGCAGTTGCCGGACCCGGCCATTGAGGACCAGGGCAGGGAGCATGTGCGGCCCATTCTGAGCAAGTATGCGGCTGTGTGCGTGCGTTGCCCAGACTATGGCACCAGGTATGGCAGGCTGCTGGGTGCATCCAGTCCTGTCCCACAAGGAACACGGCCTTACCGGAGCTCTGTGGATCCCAGAGCTCAACTTTATCTAGAAGTGGCTGCCATTTCAGCTTGGGGGGCTGTGGAATGAGCAGATGCCAGCTTCCAGGGGTGCTGCTAACTAGTCTCAAAGCCCCTGAGGCTTCCATTGCTTCTCAGGAGGGGGTCCTAGGCTCCCCCCTGCCTTCTTACACAGCCACAAGGGGCCTGAGATAGCATTGGACATACTCATGTTAGCAAGTCCCTGTCGGCCTGGAGGTCCCCCTATCTGGTTCTTCCTTTCACTTGCTCTGTGTCCCTTGGCCTGTCATGTTCTTTGCATGACCAGGGTTGGGATTAGGTCATCTCAGCCTGGAATACGGCCTTATCCCAGGAAAAGTAAAAATGTCTTGGCTACAAGGTCAAAATGTCCAGGAGAGAGAAGCTGTTGGCATGGGTGTCTGCTGTCCTGGCAAATTCCTTTCCTGCCTCCCTCCCTCCTGGGTGTGAGGCTGGGAGGCCTGGCCCGTCCACGTGGCTCCATCAGAGGGCAGCCCACATGCTGTAATTGGAGGTGCTGGGACGCACAGAGGAGGGTAGGTTGCTGGAGGCTGTTGGTCCAGCCAAGATGCTGTAGGAGTGCTGCTGCCATGTGCCTGGTTCACCTGGCCTGGAGGTGGAGCATGGCCTCATGTGTAAGCCACATCTGCCTAGGCTCAGCTTGCATCAGGTCCCATGGGCACCAGCCTTGTGTGAGGTGGGGGACCTGCCCTTGGGGGCTCATGGCCACCAAGGACTCAGGAATGAGGTGTTTGGGCCATGACCAGTGCTGACTAATGTCAGGGTGGTATCACACATATACCTGGTTTTTGGGTTCAGGTAGTTTGAGACTGAGAGAGCCAAGCCCCTTCTATCCCCGCAAGTGGGAGAGGCTGGGTTATTGTTGCCTCCATGTAGTAAGGAGGTGGTTCTCCCAGGAGGATATGAGCCAATCTTGTGGCTTTGCTGATGCTGAGGGCATTGGGCAGGGGGATAGACATGTGAAGTTCTGGGGACCAGCTGACCAAGAGGGTGGCAGGCCCCTCTGAGTCTTCCATCCTTCAGGAAATGACAGTTTCAAGCCCTCTGGCTGGGGGAATGAATAGGCAGGCCAGCATGGTGTGAATGCCTGGCACTGATGCTTCAGGGCCCAGTGATGCTCTCGGGCCTGGGGAGGGTTGCACACCTGAATGGCAGTCTTTCTGGCTGGGCTGGCTTTTTTCTTGGCAGGGGCATCATTACCCTCAAGTCCCTCCTTCATGATAGGCTTACTTTTGTGACTAAATTGTGCGCTCATGTGTACTTCATGCGTGAGGCAGAGTGCCAGGTCTACTCCCTGTCTGGGTGCATGGTTGCTGGGTCCCATCTTGACTGGGACCCCCAGTTTTCAGCATGCATGTGACCACTCTAGGTCTCTGGGTGTCAGCCTGCACTGGGTCTGCTTAGGGACTCAGTGCCTGCCCTGCATCAGTGGGAGACAGATGCTAAGGGAGTACTTGCCTTGGGGAGGTCCAGGCAGGAGGAGAGGTGTGCTGAGTATTTGGGATGTAGTAGTGGGGGGTGGCAAGGAAGGGTACAAGGGAGTTTTCTGGGTGAAGGTCTAGTCCCCAAAGAGTTGACAGGTTGACCTCTTGGAAGAGCTCAGTGTGGCCAAATGTCCGCAGTGGTGCTGGGCCGTTGCCTGAGAGTCCTGGGAAAGTGCATTGTGTGCCCAGGGCTCACCCTGGTGAGAGTGGTGGGTGGGTGGGGCTTGTACTATGGATGGTGGGCAGAGCAGGCTGGGGTGTTTCAGAGTGAAGGCAATAGGACTGGTCAAACGAGGTCCTGTGGAGCCAGCCTGGGAGCTCCAGGCCCCACCAGGCTCAGTGCCCAGCTACGCCAGAAGGGTCCTTTGACTCTCCAAGGTTGCTGCTCATTTGTGACCTGCCTCTAGCCATGCTGAGTGCCTGCCACAGGCCCCAGGTGTGATGGGCTTGACCCTTCTGTCTCAGATCTGACCCCAGTTGGGGCTTTGACAGGCGGGCAGGGGGCTGAGGGAAGCATGTGAATATGGGCCCTGTGCTCTCTTCCAGAACCAACACTGTCATCCTCGTGGACGCAGATGGGCACGTGACCTTCACAGAGCGCAGCATGATAGACAAAGACCCTTCCCACTGGGAGACCGTCACCCACGAGTTTAGGCTACAGAGCTAAGTTCTACGCCTGGGTGTGGCCAGCAGGCTCCTCTAAGGCCCTGCCTTGAGGGCTGGATGGGAACCCTCCACAGCACATGCACTACCTATGTGTGACTCAGCCAGCATCTCTCAGGACCAGGGCTTACTGATTTGTGTGTGATCTATCCATGTCTCTGTATCCAGCTCGAGGTCAACCCTTATGCCAGTGGGAGTGACAGAGTCCAACAGCCAGGTCAGGGGCAGGGGCAGGTCCAGGTGTGCTATGCATGTGTGTGAATGCACCTGGCCCTGACCATGCATAGAGACACACACACAAGGCACACACTTACATACATGCCTACAGGTGCACAGGCACACATGCACACCCATAGGGCACACACACACAGCACACACTGGCACAGGCACAGGCAATAGCTGGAACACACACACACTCCCAGGTACACACACGTGCACTTGTGCCAGACAGGCAGAGGTGTGCCTCTCACACCCACATGTGCTTCTGGCCCGTGGGTCATTGCTTTGATCAAAACAGCAGGAGTAGATCTTTGTTTAAAAGTGTCCCCTTCTCTCCTGGACATAGTCCAGTTCCTTACTGACAACTAGACCTGCTCTTGGGGGAGACAGGCCACATTTGGAATGAGAAAAGAGACAGAAGCAAGAAAAACCCACTGTCACAACAGTAGCACAGTCTGATTGGTGGATCCAGTGGTCCCGTGTGCACTAGGGGGTCCCATGTGCATGGGATTGTCCTGTGACTAGAGTCATGTGTGTGCTGGGCACCTCAGGAGCCTGTCAGGCCCTGCCTGCCCACTGGTTGTGGGTTCTGGGCAAGCCCATCTCAGTGAGGTGACACAGCCAGCCCCTCCCTTCCCACCCCTTCTCCTTGGGGAATCAAACTTCACAGGAATCTGTACTTGAATGTGAGATGTTGATAATAAAACTCTGAGGCTGTGGTGAGTCCATGCATCCTAGGTTCTTAACTTGTGTGATGGGGACAAATGGAGCTGTTGTGTACAATGGGTTGGCAGCTGTTCTCCCAGCCTGCAGGAGCTTCCACGGCACAGATGCTTATACAAGGTTCTTTCCACTTTCTCCTTTGCTCACGGGGTCTCCTGAGTGCTATGAGGGTCTTTGGGCAGAAGCTGGGGTTCAAGAAAGCATGTATATATGGGACATAGTAGGTACCAGTGGCAGGGCCTCCTGAGCTGGGCTGAGGAGCCAGGGATTTATCTGTGTTTAGTGGGGAGCCCTGAGAACCCCTTGTGGGAGCAGTGTGGTCAGACCTGCACTTGGTGTGGACCATGGAGGCCAGGTGATCGGGTGGGTTTCAGGGTAAGAGGGTAATGGGGTCTGTCTCAACCCCAGGACTAGGGTTTTGGGCAAGCACTTGGGAGCTCCTGTTCTCATCTGAGGCCAAGCATAAAGGGGTCCCATATGTCTAATGCCATGACCCAGTCTTCCCTCTGCCTCTGAGGTTGGCCCCCAACTTGGGTCATTTTTCTTCACAGAGAAATGAGAGCTTGGGGTGGGGTGTGGACTTGCGTCAGGCCCGACTTGCCAGCTCCTCCCTTCATCCTTCCCACTTGAGGGGCCTGATACCCTCCTTGGCTCACTTGAACTCAGAAGAAAAGTGCTTGAGCAGAGCCAGGCTTGAAGGGGGCTTCCATAGATGACATAGCCCATGCCCCCATACCCAAGAGGAAACCAGCCCCAGTCCCTCAAGTGGGCTGCCCCACAGCATGGACCAGTGCCCCAGGCCAGCACCCACCTTAGCCAGGCATGCCCACCCTCATAGCACACCACTGGGCTGGGTGGAGAGGCATTGAAGAACCTCCAAAGATGTTCACCTCTGCCCAGGGGTAAGGCATTGAGGGACAGCTTCCCCATCCTTGTCATAGACCCCCCTCTGTGACCAGCCTGCCCAGGGCTCCCCAACAGCCTAGGTTTCCTGAGGAAGGGGCAGCTCAAGGTGTAGTTCTGTGATTGTTAGGGGTTGAATTTTGTACCCTTAAAAGATATGCTGTAATCCTAACCCCCAGGACCTCTGAATGGGACCTTATTAGAGATAATCAAGATAAAATGAGGTCATTAGGGTAGGCCCTAAAAAAATATGACTTATGTCCTTATAAAAAAGGGAAAATTTGGACGTCGACAGACATGCATGCAGGGCAACACCCTATAAAGACAGTGACTGTGCTGCCACATGCCAAGGAATTTTTTCTCAGCGTTCACAGTTTGGATGTGTATACATTTGCTGGTGACCATGATCACTTCGTTAAGGTGCCAGCAGATGGCATCACCCAGGCTCTTGAGCAGAGACCTGGCTCATGGGTGGGTCAGGCTGAGGTGGAAACAAAAGCCCAGACAGAAGTTTCCTCCCCCAGCTTGGTCTGGAGTTCCAGATTCCAGGCTTCAGTCTTTGTGACTCTGAGGCTGGAGCCAGGTGAGGGATGTGGGGGAGGTCTGGCGGTGAGAGTCCCAGTCCATCACCTAGTTGGTTCCGGGCCTTGTGGAAAGCTGGCTGTAGGATGCAGATATGAGGTCTCAAATCTGACTGGGGTGGGTGGGGCCCCCAACTCACCAAGCAACAAAGTGTATAGAGGTGACTGTGGTTGAATGGTGATGTGCCAAGGGTTCCCATGGGCCCTGACTGCACTGGGCCAAGGTTAGCAGTTGACTGAGTCCAGGAGCCAGACCCTCATGAGGCTTGGTGTCCACTGTGAGGTGCCTGGTGCTGACCACTGAGGCAGCCAGGTGAACAGAAAGGGGCAGGAAGGGAGGCAAGGGCCTGGCTTCCAGTTTCCTCACCTGCAATATTACCTCTCCCTGCTTTTATTAATTAACCTTTTCATTTTGAAATGATTTCAACTTGCTACAAACTTCAAAAAATAAAACAGAGAATTCCAATATCCTTCATCTACTTCCCTCAAATTTAACACCTTACCTAACCATGGTAAAATGATTACAACCAGAAAATTAGCACTGATACAGTACTATTAACTGATCTACAGACATTTGAATTTTATCAATTGCCCCACTAATATCCCTATTCTAAGACAGCCTCCAATCTAGGATCCAGATCAGACATGACCATTTGTTGTCTCCTTTTACCAAAGATGGCTCCTGAGTCTGTCTTTGACTTGCATGATCTTGACACTTTAGAAAAGTACCAGCCAGTTTTTTGGTAGAATGTCCCTCACTTGGGTTTGTCTGATTTTTCTTAGTGATTACATTCAGGTTTAGCCTTTTGGGCAGAAACATCAAGTGACACATGTCCTCTCCTCTGGAGGCACACAATTTATCCCTTTCCTGGTGCTTTCCCCCACCCTTCATTTTTTATTTATTATTTATTTATTATTTATTTGTTATTTATTTCAGAGAGTTCAGGAAGGGAGAGGGAGAGATAGCAACATCAATGATGAGAGAGGAATCATTGATCGGCTGCCCCCTGCAGGCCCCCGACTGGGGATCGAGCCCGAAACCTGGGCATGTGCCCTGACCAGGAATCCAACGGTGACCTCCGGGTTCATAGGTTGATGCTCAACCACTGAGCCATGCTGCTGGGCTTTCCCCCTTCATTTTTTTTTTTTTTTTTAAATATATCTTTATTGATATCAGAGAGAGGAAGGGAGAGGGGCAGAGACAGAGAGAAACATCAATGATGAGTCATTGATCAGCTGCCTCCTGCACTCCTCCTACTAGAGATTGAGCCTGCAACCCGGGCATGTGCCCTGACCCGGAATCAAACCGCGATCTCCTGGATCCTAGGTCAATGCTCAACCTCTGAGGCACTCCCTGCCAGGCTCCCCCTTCATTTTTATCAGGTGTAATTAATGTACAATGCAACACATCCTTACAGTGTATAATTTGATAAGTTTGGATGTGTACATTTGCTGGTGACTGTTAAGGTGGTGTCTCGTTTTTTTCACTGCAAAGTTACTATTTTCCCTTTGCAACGTAGTATCTTGGGGGAAAAACTTTGCAACTCTGTAAAACTCACCACCGGTTTCTCATACTTTTGCCCACTTTTTATCAGATCTATGATTTTTGTCTGAAGCAGTTAATGTGAAGTGGGATATTTTCTATTACTCCATTCTTTCTACATTTACTTACTGGGAATCTGGTCTAACTAAGGAAGAGTGGTCCCTTCATTTACTTATATCCTCCGTTTCTTGAGGCTCCTGATACAGTATTAACAAGTGGAAAAGTGCCAGACAATTGAGGATACTTGTCATTTTTTTCCCCAATGATCCTGTTTAATGATGTTAATTGGAAAACTTCTGTGTGGACACTCTCCCCTGCACTGGCTACACTGGAGACGGAGGAAGCCCGGGAAGCATCCCAGCGCCCTCAGCTACCGACATTCCCGAGCTCCCGGGGTCCTCCGCCCCCCCCGTTCCCGGCATTCCCCGCGCTCCCCTGTTCCCGGCGTCCCCTGCGCGCCCCGTTCCCGGCGCTCCTCGCGACGATCGCCCTCCGCGCGGCGAGCCCCCCCCGGGCTGTGACCGTTAGCGCGGCCGCGGCCTCAGCTTCTGGTCCCGCCCGC